CTTCGGTCTTCCTCTTGTCTGTGCTGCTGTTTGTGGGGGTGAGGCTGTGCAGGAGGGCCAGGGCGGCGTCTCTGGGTGCCTGCTCTGTGCCTGAGGGACACTTTCCTGGCCACTTGGTGGATGTCAGCGGCACGGGAACCCTGTCACAGAGCTACCAGTATGAGGTGTGTCTGACTGGGGATTCTGGAACTGGTGAGTTCAAATTCCTCAAACCTATGATCCCCCAGCTGTTGCCTCAGGATCCTGGGAGAGAAAGTAAGGAAAGTCCCCACTGCAGGGAGAGCTTTATATTCAGTTAGCTGTTGTATTTGGTTAGGGGGATTTATTTTTACCAAATCTACTGCAAAATTGAGTGAATTATATTGTATTGGTACTGTAATCAAAGCATATACATTTACTCATTTATGAAAACGGTGGGTTTTTTTCTTTCTTGATATCTATTGTAGTTAGTAGTTTCAGGTATAATAAGTATTAGGAACACAATTTCTCCATATTTCAACATATATTTTACTTTAGATCAAGTATTAGATCACAAAAGGTATTTTACTTCACCTGCTTTGGGGTTTTTTTAAGTTCAGTTTAGTTCTTCTTGGTTTTTGTTTTCAGGCAGGGTCTCTCTAAGTAACCCTGGCTATCCTAGAAATCACTATGTAGACCAGGTTGGCGGCACACTGGTAGACATCCATCCCTCTCCGTCTTCCAAATGCCAACTACTTTACTGTTTTTTTACCACAAAATTTCAAGTTTTTGTAGCTATTTTCCCTTTTTTTTGTTGCTATTGGTTATTAAATAGAGGACCTCTTACATTAACCATACATTTAGGTAGTGAGCATCACTCATGGTTGAAGTTCCTGACAGTTGCCCTGAGTCACCATGAGCATAACAATTTGCATACTTGTCTTCCAAATTATAGCCATTCTCTGTACTAAATATTAAGACACTAGAAGTGTGACATTTTTCTTCTTCGGTGGAGGACATAAGTTGGAGATTGTCTACATTACTTGGCCATCACATACCTAGCACTTTGTTTTATAAATATTAATTTTAGCAATCTCTTTTGTAAATATTAAAGGGATAACCTTATTATTCTTTATTTGCCACCTCTATCACTAAAGGAAAGTGTTTGAGACTGAAGGTAGAATCAGTAGTAGATCACATATGCATGCTAGTCCCTGTTAAATGATTGCTTGACACAATACTGTTAAAAAATTAATTTGAGCAACAGAAGTAACCACCAAAATTCCCCAAAGAATCCAGATGTTTGATGGTCTCATATTATCTTTTTTGTTCTAGAAATAAAAGTGTAAGTGAAGTTTTTGTGGGTTTTCTGTTAATCCCAGCTGTGAACTTGAGATCTATACCCACCTGACCTCTGGGCATGCTATGGAGGATTATTGTGCTGAGGTTAATTGAGGCGGGAAGACCATTTGTGTGGCATCATTCCCTGGGCTGCAATCCTGGACTGTATGAAGAGGAGAAAGTGGGCTGAGCCTTCCTTGCTCTCTTCTTCCAGCCTGGAGATGCAGTGTGACCAGTTGTTCAAGACCCCGGTTTTCACCTTCCTCGTCTTAGTGTAATCTTGAACTGTGAGCCAAAACCCTTCCTACTTTATCCTAGAAATAGGAACAGTAACTAAAGCAGCCTACATGATTTCATGGTATCATGTCCCGCACTCAGAGACTTGTGCGTTCTAAGCTGTGGCCCTGTCTCTAGTTTACATTAGTACATATGTTTCCTTTGGTTTTTCCCACAGCTCCTCCTGCCCTTTCAAGAGATTCTGGAAATTTCTGGAAATTTCAATATTATATTTGATTCTGGCTGTCAGTTCTGATCATCTTATTATGTGATTGCTAGCAAGGTAAATTTGTATGGATACAACTGAAGGAAAGCTTTATTGAAATTTTGGCAGTATGAATAATTTTTATTTTTATGTTTTACTTTTTAGCTAGTATATTTTCCTGTACAAAGCAATGGATTTCCTTATGAATTTTATGCATGTACATAATGTATACACATTGATCACACTTATCATTTGTGTTTCTAAATCTCAAGTGTCATCTGGAGTTCAATTATTTACACCTTTCCCTGAATTAATGATTCCTCCCATAAGGAAGTGAGGAAATATAAAACAAAAACGGATGATCATTCCTTATAGATGAAATGTAATTTTTGGTTATTCGATTTTAAAATGGAAGTGAGAAAGAGGTAAAAGTGAGAAAAGTAGATGCAAACTTAAATAGGGCAGACAGCTCTAATGACTTGCCCATTATGTGCCAAATGCCTCTTTGGGTCCTCAGGATGCCAGCCTGAAGAAAAAGAAGCTAAGCTCTCTTGTTGTAGCCCAACAGTAGAACTTTTGCCTAAAGATTCGAGTCTCTGGGTTCAATCTCCCCAGAATTAAGAAGAAAAAAATATATCCTCCTTCCTTCATGATCAAAGGTTACAAAATTTTATATATTTTAAAGTATGAAGTTATATATTATGCATAATATGGTAGAATTTCCCTCTGTCTTAGATGGATTATCTGACATCAGAGAAACAACCATGAAGCTGACTAAAGGACAGAAATTATTACGTCAGTGCAACAGAAAGTCACTTCTATGAGAACCGAGTCCTACAGACAGTTTGCTTAAAAGATAATCAACAGGTTTTTGACACAGACACCACAATTAAGTAGCCTCTGATAGCACGGAAAACTTGAGCTAGGGTCAGTTTTCCTGCCCAGGACACTTGTCAACTCAGAAGTCCAGGAAAGAAGACTGAAAAGGTAATTTGAAAACCCTCTGAAGGCAGAGTGAGATTTTGTACAAACTACCAAGAGCATAGGTTGGGAACTGCCTGGCAGAGTTGATGTAGAGAATTCACGCTTGTAACTTGAAATTTGCCCAAATTACTTGCTTTTAAGGACATCAGAGAATCCTGACCAAGTTTGGTGCCTGTTTGAGTTGGCGTGACTGTAGGAGGTAGAGCTCTGTCAAACCAAGAGCAAAGGGTGAGCTCCTCCTGGAAGAGGATAAGAGCATCCTGATTGTGGGCGGACTTTACACAGTCCCGACCTAGAAGATGCCAGTGCTAGAATAAAACTACAATGTCAAGATAATAACCAAAATAAAATGGTTAAATCTTTGAAACAAGGAATGACTGAGCAAATAAATAGAAATTTTATAAGAAAATGGAGCTTAAGATCAAAAGTCAGTTTCATTAAAAATTATATGTCACAAAGCTATATAAATAGTAAAACATCATAGAAATAATGAAATACAGAATTAATGGATACAATGCATGTCAATATGAGAAACCTTAAACAAATACAGATTTTTCTTTTTAAAAAGACTTAAAGCAACAGCACACAGTTAAGATCAAGTGGATCTCAGATCAGTTTTCAGCAGCCTCCCCAACACCTACTGCCTTCACCCCAGCTCAGAGGGACCCAACACCCTCTGCAAGCACATTCACACTCTCCTGAAGTATACACACATCACACAAACACAGAATCAATAAAAACAAATCTTTTTAAAACATAGAAAATAAAGGTATGAGAGGTATCTCCGTGGTTAAAACACCTTGCTGCTTTTCCAGAAGACCCAGCTTGTGGTCCAACAAAACAACCTGTAAGTCTAATTTCAGTGGATTCTACACTCATCTGTTTCTATGAGGATCCACAAAGGAGATTGTTGTTCAACAAGAAGAAATGAGCTATCAACCTATAGAAGGCCATTAAGAAACCTAAGTGCACATTTGTAAGTCAGAGTCACTAAGATAAAAAAAACCAATTCTGTAAAATTCTGACTATGGAGGAAGGAAAACTATAAGTGATTTCCAGGTCTTCTAATGAGACAGGATAGAGATAGATAGATTTAGGCAGGGGGTGGGAAGAGACAATGAAACTATGATATGCTAAAAATATATGTTGTGTGATTAAATTTATCCATGGCTACACACTGTATAGCACCAAGTAGGAGCCTTAATTTAAAATATGGGCTCAGTGGTGTAAATGTAGGAACATCAACTGCAAGAAGCATGCCAGTCTGATGGGGTACCTATAGGGAGGAAGGATACACATGATGTGGAGAGGAATCTCTGCATTTCCAAGTCATTTATGTGATTTTAAAACTGCTCATTAAAAATAGACTTCTTTTCAAAAGGGAGACTTTCATCTCAATAAAATCCATGGTAAGTCTAGAGTAATGAAGACATAACCACCAGAGAGAAACAGGAACACTGGGGCAGACCTGCAACCACTCTGACTCAAGACAGTGATCACCCCTCAGAAGGGAGTGCGTCTGTTTGGAACACGGTATAAAGGCATTTGGAAACCAAGAACTCCAATTTAGTTCATTCAAAACATATTTGAAGTGAATAAGTATATAAATGCCAAAAGAAAACATTCAAAATATACACATTATTCTTATGACCTTAAATTATGAAAATTTAAAAGTACTAAACAAATTTGAAAATTATTAACAGGTCAAATTAAACACAATTAAAATGTTTTATTGATCAAACCACAATATCAACGAAATGCAAGGCATTGAGTGGGAAATATTTGAGCATATCTACTGGAAAAGAGATTATCCAGAATATACAGGGTATTTCTTCAGACCAACAGGCAAACAAATAGAAGCCACATATCAGAAACATATACAAAATTATGGATTAAATTATATCTATGTGTAAATTAAAAGAATACTGAAACACTTGCAGTTAAAATTTGGAAAGAAATGGCAAATTGAAATGCACAAACAAATAAGGACGCTTGGTGGCGCTGCAGGCTAAGAGTCTGAAGAATTGGCTCTGCAGACGCCCAGGACGCCATCTCCTTAAGCTAAGAACCAGTTTTTTGGCGGCTGTTGGATAGAGAAGGTAACAAGAAAGGTTTCTGGGAGAATTTGGGAAGAAGGGGTCTCTCTAATCGGATTTAGATCAATATTTTCACAAACGGTCGTGAGTGGATTGTATTTGACCTGAAGAAGCAGCACCCTATGAACTACATCTGAACAATGGAGACAGCTCTAGCAAAAACAGCAGAGAAAAGGCAAGTCGTTTTTCTTACTATATTGTTGCTTTTGTGGGACGCTGACTGTAAGACAATAAGATATTCCATGCCAGAAGAAATGGAGACTGGCTACTTGATGTCTAACCTTGAAAAAGATCTGGGGCTCAAGGTGGGGGAACTGGCCACCAGAGGGGCGCAAATCCATTACAAAGGAAACAAAGAGCTCTTGCAGCTGGATGCAGAGAGCGGGAATTTGTTCTTGAAGGAAAAACTAGACCGCGAGGAGCTGTGTGGGGCGACAGAACCCTGTATGCTGCACTTCCAGCTCATACTGGAAAACCCTGTGCAGTTCTTCCACACTGACCTGCAGCTCACAGACATAAACGACCATTCTCCAGAGTTCCCGCACAGGGAAATGCTCCTAACAATTCCTGAGAGCGCCCAGCCAGGCACTGTGTTTCCTCTGAAGGCAGCTCAGGACCCTGACATAGGCAGCAATGCTGTTCAGAACTACACAGTCAGCCCCAACCTCCACTTCCATGTCTTTACTCACAGTCGTGCTGATGGCAGGAAATACCCAGAGCTGGTGCTGGACAGAGCCCTGGACAGGGAGGAGCAGCCTGAGCTCACTTTAACCCTCACTGCTGTAGATGGTGGGTCTCCTCCCAGGTCTGGGACCACCACAGTTCGCATTGAGGTTGTGGACATCAATGATAACGCTCCCCAGTTTGTACAGTCGCTCTATGAGGTTCAAGTCCTTGAGAACAGCCCCCTTAATGCCTTAGTTTTGACGGTGTCTGCCAGGGATTTAGATGCTGGGATATATGGGAAGGTAGTTTACTCTCTGTTTCAAGGCAGTGGGGTTTCTCTGCCATTTGTAATAGACAAAGTCACTGGAGAAATTCGTCTGAGGGAAGAGTTGGATTTCGAAGTTACTAGCCAGTATAACATAGAAATCGCAGCCACGGATGGAGGTGGCTTTTCGGGGAAATGCACTGTGGCTGTGCAGGTGTTGGATGTGAACGACAACGCCCCTGAGCTGACTATCAGAAAGCTCACAATTCCTATCCCAGAAAACTCCCCGGAGACTGTAGTTGCTGTTTTCAGTGTTTCTGATCCAGATTCCGGAGACAATGGAAGAATGGTGTGTTCTATTCAGAACGATCTCCCATTTCTTTTGAAGCCCACATTCGAGAACTATTACACTTTAGTGACAGAGGGGCCACTGGACAGAGAGAGCAGAGCTGAGTATAACATCACCATCACAGTCACCGACATGGGAACACCCAGGCTCACAACCCAGCACACCATAACAGTACAGGTGTCCGATGTCAACGACAACGCCCCCGCTTTCACACAAAGCTCCTACACCCTGTTTGTCCATGAGAACAACAGCCCCGCCCTGCACATAGGCACCATCAGCGCCACAGACTCAGACTCGGGCTCCAATGCCCACATCACCTACTCACTGATGCCCACCTACGACCCACAGCTGGATCTCGCCTCGCTCATCTCCATCAATGCCGACAATGGGCAGCTGTTTGCGCTCAGGGCTCTGGACTATGAGGCCCTGCAGAGCTTCGAGTTCTGCGTGGGCGCCACAGACCAAGGCTCGCCCGCGCTCAGTAGCCAGGCGCTGGTGCGCGTGCAGGTGCTGGACGTCAATGACAATGCGCCCTTCGTGCTCTACCCGCTGCAGAATGCTTCTGCGCCCTTCACAGAACTGCTGCCCAGGGCAGCAGAGCCTGGTTACTTGGTCACCAAGATAGTGGCCATAGACAGCGACTCAGGACAGAATGCCTGGCTGTCATTTCAACTGCTCAAGGCCACGGAACCCGGACTGTTCAGCTTGTGGGCTCACAATGGCGAAGTGCGCACCTCCAGGCTGTTGAGCGAGCGCGAGGCGCCCAAGCACAGGCTGCTACTGCTGGTCAAGGACAATGGCGATCCTCCGCGGTCTGCCAGTGTCACTCTGCAGGTGCTGCTGGTGGATGGCTTCTCTCAGGCTTACCTGCCTCTGCCCCAGAGGGAGCGCGATCCAGCTCAAGAGAATGAGGACAGACTCACGCTGTACCTTGTCATTGCCTTGGCATCTGTGTCTTCGCTCTTTCTCTTGTCTGTGCTGCTGTTCGTAGGAGTGAGGATGTGCAGGGGGGTCAGAGGAGCCTCGCTGGGTAGCTGCTCTGTGCCTGAGGGACACTTTCCTGGACACCTGGTGGATGTCAGCGGCGCTGGGACCCTGTCACAGAGCTACCAGTATGAGGTGTGTCTGACTGGAGACTCTGGGACTGGTGAGTTCAGTTTTCTCAAACCCATGATTCCCAACTTACTGCTTCAGGATGCTGGGAGAGAAGTCAAGGAAAGTCCTCACTGCAGGGATAGCTTTGTCTTCAGTTAACTGTTGTATCTAGTTCAGTGAATTTATTTTTTGGCAAATCTCTAACAATATGTTTCTCTTAAGAAAACGAGTCACTTTAATCAAAGTATTGGCATTGTATTGAAACATATGCATGTTCTCCATTGCTAAAATGTGGTTTTTTTCTTTTTTGCTCTCTTTAGTTATTTCAGATATAGTGAATATTAAGAACACAAATTTTTCTGTATTTCACCTTAATGTTTAACTTTAGCTCAAGTATTATGCAACAAAATGAATTCACTTTCCCTGTTTTGTGTGTGAGTGGTTTTGTTTTTGTTGTTGTTTTTTTTCCTGTTTGTTTTTCTTTTTTAAAGACAGGTTCTCACCATGTAACTCTGGCTGTCCTAGAACTCACTGTGTAGTTCAGGCAGCCTCCAACTGTTAGACATTCATTTCTCCGTCTCCCGCATGCTGACTACTTTACTGTTTTCACCCCAAAATTTCAAGTTTTTATGGCCCAGGTGTTTACGGTTTTTTGCTTTATGTTATTGCCATTGGATATTAAATCTAAGACCTCGTATGTGCTAATCATCCAGTCTGTTAGTGAGCTTCACTCACAGCTGAAATTCCTTATAATCATTACTAACAAGCATAGTTGTCTTCCAATTATAAACATTCCCTTCTTAAATATCAAGACACTAGAAATGTGACATTTTCCTTCTTTTGTGGACCATATATGTTGTATTATTTGTCCACCACATACCTAGCACATTTTACATAAATATTCATTTAACTATTCTTTTTTTAAAGATTTATTTATTCTGCCTCGATGTATGCCCGCTTGCCAGAGGAGGGCGCAAGATCTCAATACAGATGGTTGTGAGCCACCATGTGGTTGCTGGGAATTGAACTCAGGACCTCTAGAAGAGCAGCCAGTGCTCTTAACCTCTGAGTCATCTCTCCAGCCCTTAACTATTCTTTTGTAACTATTAAAGGGATAAGCTTATATATTAATGATTTGCCACCTTTATCACAAAACAAAAGTATTCCAGACTGAGGGTATAATCCATGGTAGACCATGCATGCACGCCAGGCTCTAGGTACACTTCCAGGTTCCAGAAAGGAACCAGCAAACAGACAAATAACCCCACCTATTAAATCATTGCTTGACACAATAGCCTTTGAAACCTAATCTGAATAGTACAAGTAAGCACTTGGGTCCTCCAAAGAATCAAGACTTTTGATGATCTCACTTTATCCCTTTGTCTTAGTAATAAAAGTGTAAATGGAGCGCTATGGGGTTTTCTGTTCATCTCAGCTGTGACCTTGAGGTCTAGATTCACTTGACCTCTGGGCACACCTCTGGAGGAGTATCGTGCTTAGGGAAATTGAGGAGAAAGACCATGGTGGGTGGCACCACTTCCTAGGCTAAGATTCTGGACTGTATGAAGAGAAGAAAGTGGTCTGAGCACAAGCCTTCTTTGCTCTCCTCTTCCTGCCAAAACCCTTCCTACTTTACTCTAGAAATAGGAAATGTACCTCAGACAGCATGCACGGTTAAATCATATCAGAAACCACACTCAGAGACTTGTGCATTCTAAGCTCTCCACTGTGGCCCTGTCTCTGGAACATACGTTTCCTCTGGTTTTCCTGCAGCTCCTCTTCCCCTTTCAAAAGACTCTGGGAATTTCAGTATTTTATTTGGTTCTGGTTGTCAGTTCTGATACTTTTTGTTTTATATTGTTTGGTAGCTATGGAAAGCAAAACAGTTCTTTTTGTGATATTTAATTATCACTTGTTTGGTTATCTGGTGTAACCATGAGGTATCCTCAGTCAATTTAATGTTTCAAATGTGCTGCCTATTTTGGTTCTTAATTGATTTGAACTGTAATGAATTAAGCTGAATTATAATTAACTTATATTAAATGAATCAAGTAAGCTTATTATGTGATTTCCAAAAAATACAATTGCAGGATTATTTAGCTTTCTCCAAAATATGAACAAGTGAAGAATTTGGTATACAATATAATATCTTTACATGTTTTGCTTTTTATTTAGTATATATTCATTGTACAAAGCGATGGATTCCCTTATAAATTTTCCATGCATGTAACAAATGTATACAGATTGATCATGTTTATATTTTGTTTGTTTTTAAATATCAAATGTCATTCCCATAGAGTTTAAGTGTTTGCATCTTTCCCTGAATTAGTGTTCCCTCCCATAATGAAGTAATGAAATATAGAATGAAAATTGATGACTACCCCTTATCCTTGAAATGTAATTTTGGTTATCCAATTTTAGGTAAAAGTAAGAAAAAGTAAATACAAACAAATATGTAAGTCTCAATATGGCAAACAACTTTAACAATCTGCCAGTTACGTGCCAAGATGCCTCTTGTGGTGTGGTACCCGTTACTCAGGATACCAGCTTGAACTAAGTGTCCAGTTCTCAGCATACCAGCCTGAACTAAGTATCCAGTACTCAAGATGCCAGCCTGAACTAAAAGAAGCCAAATTCTGTTGTTGTAGCCCAACAGTAGGACATTTGCCTAATAGGTTCAATCTCCCCAGCATTAGGAAGAAAAAAATATATCCCTCTTCCTTCATGGTTGAATATTACAAAAAGTCCAATATTTTAAAATATGAAGTTAAAGATTATGCATATGCTTCGTAGAATTCCCTCCAGCCTAGATGGATTATCTGACATCAGAAAAACAACCATAAAACTGACTAATAATCAACAGGTTTTTTACATAGCCACTATAACTAAGTAGCCTCTAACAGCACGGAAAACTTGAGCTAGGGTCAGTTTTCCTGCCCAGGACACTTGTCAACTCAGAAGTCCAGGAAAGAAGACAAAAAATAATTTGGAAACCCTTTGAAGGCAGAATGAGATTTTGTACAAACTACAATGATTATAGGTTGGGAACCACCTGGCAGAGCTGATGCAGAGAATTCATGTTTGTAACTTGAAATTTGCCCAAATTACTTGCTTTTAAGGACATCAGAGGATCCTGACCAAGTTTGATGCCTGTTTGAGTTGGCGTGACTGTAGGAGGTAGAGCTCTGTCAAACCAAGAGCAAAGGGTGAGCTCCTCCTGGAGCATCCTGATTGTGGGTGGACTTTACATCGTACCAACAATCAGTAGGTGTACATCACAAAACTGGGCAATATAAAGAAGACCAAGAGGAGAAAACATAACACAATGATCTAGAAGATGCATTGCTAGAATAAAACAACAATGTCATCAAAATAAAATGGTTAATATTTTTGAAAAAAGGGATGACTGAGCAAATAAATAGACAATTGTTATTTAAGACTCAATGTCAATTCTGTAACAAAAACATATATTTCATAAAGCTACATGAATGGTAAAAGTTCATGGAAATATAAAGGGATACAGAATTAATGGATGGAATGCATGTCTATATGAAATACATGAAATTATTGCAAGACAAATCTTTTAATTCTTGAAGAGATGGCTCAGCAGTTAAGATCAAGTGGATCTCAGTCCGGTTTTCAGCAGCCTCCCCTTGTCGAGGGGTTACAGCTGCCTTCCCCCCAGCTCTCAGAGAGCCAACACCGCTTCAAGGACATTCACACTCTTTTGACATTTATTCACATATACATTAAAAATAAACATACTTCAAAAGGAGACTTTCATCTCTGGAGTAATGAAGACAACAGAGTGTTACGTGACCATCGGAGAGAAACTGGAGCACTGGGGTAGACCTGCAACCACTCTGATTCAGGACAGCGATAACCATCAGAAGAGGGTGCATCTGTTTGCAACATGATGTAAAGGAAATCAAGAGCTCCAACTTAATTCATCCAACACATATTTTAAATCAATAGGTTTATACAGCAAAAGAAAACATTCAAAATATACACATATTGTATCTTGAAATTAAGAAAATTTAAAAGTACTAAACAAATTTTTAAAATGTATTGCCAGATCAAACTAAACAAGATGTTTTATTGATCAAGTCACAATATCAACAAAATTCAAGGCATGATGTGGGAAATATTTAAGCATATATATCTGAAAAAGAGATTACACAGATTATACAAAATACTTCTTCATACCAACAAGCAAACAAATAGAAGCCCCATATCAGAAATAAACATGCTCCTCCCAAGACTCTATCCTGATGCCAGTCAACATGAAAGTGTGCAGACAAATGCTAGTTGAATTTAGGTGTGAAGTCACCAGACAAACACCAAAACTGAGACTACAACACTAATGTTAACAGGGATATGAAGCAACTGGAACGCTCATGCTTTGGTGGTCTTAGTACACTACACATGCAAAATGCTTATCTTTTCAAGGAGCAAAGTAACCAAACAATAGCAGTCTTTGTTATCTTGGACTTTTGCCTATTTTATTTTTATCTAAACTGAACTAAAAAACATTATAAAAGCTCAATAGGTTATACAATTAAGATTTTGTCCCTTTCTGGGTGTATGTTATATTACAAACATCTATAAAAAGTATAAATTAATTTCTCTATGCACCTATTTTCTTTAGTTTCTTGCACAAAATCAAATTATAAATCTACACAAGAAACCTGATTCATCTACTTGGTACTCTTATGACAAAACGTTAATGCCATCTTAAGTTGTTCTAAAATTTATACTTACAACCAAAACATAATTCAGGAAAAAATCATATTTAGAATTTCCAATTGTTAAGAACTGAACTTACAGTTTAGGCTGCGTGTGTAATTAAAAGGATATTGAACCACATCACAGTTCAAATTTGGAAACAAATTTGAAAATGAAATGCATGAACAAATAAGGACGCTTGGTGGCGCTTCAGGCTAAGATTCTGAAGAATGAGCTCTGCAGCCGCCCAGGACGCCATCTCTTTTAATCTGTGAACCAGTACTTTGGCGGCTGTTTGAGGGAGAAGGTAATAAGAAAGGTGTCTGGAGAATTTGGGATGAAGGCGTCTTTTTAATCAGATTTAGTTCAATATTTTTACGAAACCCCATTAGTGGACTGTAATCGACTTGAAGAAGCAGCACCCTCTGGACTACATCTGAACAATGGAGACAGCTCTAGCAAAATCACCAGAGAAAAGGCAAGTCGTTTTTCTTACTATATTGTTGCTTTTGTGGGAGGCTGGTTCTGAG